ATTTTGGTGTTCATAATCCCAGACTGGCTAATCTTTGTTTCTTCAGATTGAATGAGGTGTGACAGTTCTCTTAATTCTAGGTTTGGTTTTTTGCATTTTGCATTTCTTCAGATTGGAGTGAGGGTGTGTCCACTTTGGTGTTGCTTGCCATCTCTTTGTAATTCCAACAGCTCGACATGCAAGATTCTGTAACTTTCAGGTTGGGTTCCAATAATATTACATTACTAAACAAGAATAAACAATACAGCAGTCCTCATGCCTTAGCAACTAAACCTTGGATCTTGATTTGGGTCAACAGCCCTATGATTCCAAGGACAAGATGTGGGACCTCATCTGCTTTGTTGGGACCTTGATGAATTCATGTTCATTTAAAAATGCTAGGATTTTGCCTCTATGACGGGTCAGCCTTTACTGCCAAACAATTGGATTTAATGTGGTCCAGATGACAAATATACCTGTTCCAGAAGTAGTCTAGACCACACTGGTATGCTATTACTATATCTCATTTTTGCACACCTCTTTACTATGCAGATGCTTTATGTGTGGACCTTGCCCTCACTGGCCCCTCCACCTTGTCAATGTGGGATTCTAGCTAGGTGTGTTTCAAAAGGTAACATTTTCCTATACCGGAAATGTAGTTCCTATAATACTTACCTCACCTCACACTCTTGCCCTTCCTCCCCACAAAATTGCCGGTTTTGGGTTTATTAATTTGGATTATCTCAAAAAGTGAATAGGAAGTAATAATGGAGAACTTATACACAGATTTGGTATAGGGGCGTATTGACATAGGTGGAAGAATCACAAGATCTAATTCGCAAGATAAGGTTCATACCAATGCTTAGATGGGCACAGAAGAGAAACCTTCATTGGGATAAAGCTATTATTGGAAATACATTTTTGATATAAGAAAATCTTAACTTTAATACTAATCCAAGCATGCCATATGGAGGCTGGTGATATCTTGGCAGGTAAATTTGCACATCTTTGCATAACATTCAAGACATTGAAGAAAAGATGACTGTTTTTCTCATATGTTGTCTTTTAGTTCCAATTAGGATGGGGATCACTTTATAGATTAATTTTTATCTTTTCTTAACCTCATTTGTTGTTTTTATTGCATTGTTCTAGAGTTGTCAAGCCTATCCTCAGGTCTGCCTGAGTCTTTCCAATTCTTCTTGGAAGCCTACTGAATAGATCAGTGTCATGACTTGGTTGGCATTTTCAGATGAGAATGTAATGGGCCTTTGCCCCAGGTCCAAGTCAGTCATTAGTAGTTATTGGTCCTTTCCTCTGAGAATCTTTCACTACATATATAGGCCAATTTTTTACTCCCTTAACCTACATACCTATTTTTGTAACATATTCAATTATTGGGTGGGTTCTTTAGAATTATTTGGTGAAAGTAATGTGATGTCCAGTTCATGTGACAATAAATTAATTATTTTTCAACAACACTTGCTAAATACTACATTCACTTTGAGGGCTAAGTTCACAAAGAAACGTTTTGTACATAGCCATTGAAACTACTTTGGACCCAATGCACTAATAATGTTTAAGAAAAATTTCCTTGATTGATAACAATTGGTGGTTAACTTACAGAAACACTAACTCTGGTTCCCTCCTCTCAGTCGGATATTCTGGGTTTTAGTATTTCAGTGGTAAGTGTACCTGATTGTAATCTTACATTTTTAGAATTAAAATGTATTTCAGGGGTAAGTAATTATTTGCATTGTATCAAGGACATTCAGAAATAAAAGTCACGTTTTTTAACAGCACGAGAGCAATCTCAACAAGGAAAGGCATTTAGTATCTGTAACATAAGTATCTGTTTGAAATTCATTTTAATTCCAAAACATGTGAAGGTTGAGAGAGTTTCTATTGTATTGTATAACTTTTTTTATGAAAACATCCTTTAGTAGCAAGTCATTTGTTTTTTAAAATATCCATTGTTATTGTGTGTAAATGTGAAGGTTGAGAGAGTTTCTATTGTATAACTTTCTTTATGAAAACATCCTTTAGTAGCAAGTCATTTGTTTTTTAAAATATCCATTGTTATTGTGTGTAAATGTGAAGGTTGAGAGAGTTTCTATTGTATAACTTTCTTTATGAAACATCCTTTAGTAGCAAGTCATTTGTTTTTTAAAATATCCATTGTTATTGTGTGTAAAGTTATGATTTTCAAATAGATACTTACCTTTATTGCTGTATGTAGTCACTCTTCCCCCCATATTTGCTTCTTAATGATGAGGAGGAACGGTGATGATGTAGGAATGTGGGTGTTGGCTACTGTCATTTAATCTATGTGTAAACAGTACATAGGATAGATGGAGAATCATTCAGAATGATATTCTATGAGGATGAATGTAAATGTCACATGAACAATAGTGAATAGAGTAATATTTAAGTAAGACTATGAGAAAGCTGTCTCTATATAAAAAGTATATGTTAGAAATTGATTGTGATTCTCATTCAATTTGATATTATGAACATAATGAGTTTCAGATACAGTATCTCACCTCTGCTTAGAGAATAGCTTTTTCTGACTTGTACTGCCCTCTATATGAGCAAACTTTTGATTGTCACTAGCCTTTGTAGTCCTACTTACCCTCACATGTTTTCATGCGAGACAGTTGCATGATAGCATGCAAATGAGCATGTGACAACCATCCACCAATAGGAGTGCACTACAACTCCTAACACAGCTGACTCCCTCTATGCACTTTAGCCTAAATTCAATACTTGATTGGCACTCAGGGTGTTAAGACATGTTTTTTTACTCACTGAGTTCTTTGTTTTCTTTCTGGAAACTTAGTTTTTCTTTACATTTTCTACATTGGTGTTCTGAAACATTAGTTACTACATTAGTATTATGTGTCTGGTATTATAATAAATGATTCTTTGAAGCTCTCTGTTGGGCTTTTCTACTTTCACTCTTGGTTGCAATACATTCTGAGTTTCACGTTACAACTACTACCACTGTTGTTCCCACTACAATTAACTCTCACATAATATGGAAGATCATTCTGTGGCTTACCATAAGCCTGCCTTTTATTTTTTTGGACTTCCAGAAGGTTGGTTCTCTTGTGCCTCTGTGGGGTTCTAATCCCACTATTACTTTAACATTTTTCCAATCTCAGTTTTCACATATCTGCCTATGTTATCTTCCTCCTTCATTCCTATTCTCGATTCACCTTCTTTTTGAGGCTCTTCATCACTCCCCTGATGAGTTTTTCGTGAAGACTCATGCCCTACTTTTTCCATGCTTGCACTGTTGTCCTCGTCTGCCCTTTCCCTACAAAAAGGGCTCCTTTGTTGTTGGAATCTCTTGTGCATTTGTCCCCACCTCCTTATGGGACTTGTGCTGGCACCATTTTTAAAGCAAGATATCTTTGGGGGTCTTCCTGACTCATTGGAGACCAGAGATGAGTCTGCAGATTTGCACACCTCCCTTTCCTCATTGGCTTCAGATTTGTCTCAATCTCCTCCTGAATCTGTGCCTGTATCTCATCCTCCTCCTTCCTCTATTTTACCACTTCCTGCTACACAGGTCTCCGAAGTTAAATGTCACTTCTTTCATTAATGGCTTCAGCACCCCTGTTAGTCCCAGTGACTGTGTGGTAGGTACAGGTCTAGTGGGTACTAGGCTTTTGTGCTTTGCTATCATTTGGGATTCCTTCACCACAAACCCTTGGGTTCTGTGGGTTCTTCCCAAAGGGCTCATTCTTTGTTTCAGCTCCCCTTTCCCCTCTTCCCATATCATTCACTCCTCCTCACTGTAAGGTGAAAAGAAGTGTATTTATTCTTAGTTTGAAAATCACCTGTCACCCAGGCTTTGGAAATTTCAAGACAAATTTTTACTAAAAATACTTCATTTACTCCTTAAATCCGAGCAGACGCTTGTACCATCTGGTCGAAAATCCTGATTAACCCTTTAGATGGTGACAGCATCCAATAATATTTATGTCTCTTTGGCTGAAAACTAATCCAAACCATATTATTATCCACCTTTTACAAATGGACTGGAAATTTCATGGTGATAATTATTAGGACATTGTCAAAATAATTCTGGCAGAACATGCAAAAAATTATGGATTTAAAGAGTTACAAACTTTAATTTTTTATGTATAACAAACTGTTACTAATGATACACTGAGTAGAAAATTCAGAGTTATAGCATGTATAGTTGAAAAGTTCCAAGGTTTGTTAAATCAGCCAGCTTCATACTTACAGGATTAAATACACTTTATTTTTGTTTTGTTTTTAGGGTTGTGGATCATGTACTTAATGTGTGTCAGCAGTGCATTTTAACAGTGGTTATTTTTGTAATCCGTAGTATCACTCAGCATGATTTATTGATGTGGATCATGTACTTAATGTGTGTCAGCAGTGCATTTTAACAGTGGTTATTTTTGTAATCCGTAGTATCACTCAGCATGATTTATTAAAACAAAACTTATTTTGTCTGTTAAACTTTTCCTTTATTTTGTTTTAGTTATTGACTGTTCTCATGAAAACGGTCTTAGTTGGAGTGTAAAAGAAAAGAGTTGAGTTATACATGCCAATTTCAAGAAAGTATAGAAACTTTCTTAGCTTGTTGTGTATGAACAACAGTAAGTTAAAGACCAGGAGCAGAATATGGTCCTCTGATGTGAATTTGTGCTAAACGTTGTGACAGTTTGTTTACAAGAGCACATTTACTCTAAAATCATGTCTGAAATTGTGTTCTTTTTTATTATTATTTTATAGTGTACTAGAAACACCCAAACAGATGGTTTGCTTTTGCTTAGTAATGTCTCTGAAGAACAAATAATATTCAAACAAAGTATGAGGAACAAATCTATTCTTGGGACCTCTTGCTTCAAACATTAAAAAGTAATAAAGCAAAAAAAGAGAGAGAGAGGGAAGAATTAAAATGATTTACCAAATCAAAGAGTGTGATGATAATATGTATAATTTCATATATCAAATAAAACTTTTTTTATGTGTCTTCCATCCAGCACCTCATGGAAAAATCAACCTTATACATGTGGTTCATACACATCTATTGGTGTAAATAGTACACAGCGAGATATAGAACTACTAGGAACTCCTTTGTATTCTGATCCTGATTATGCTAAGGTAAGATTTTTTTATGTTAAGTTAGCCTATGGAAAATCCTTATGACTTATAAGTTGGGTTCTGAAACATTTTATTGAGAAATGCTACTCACTTTTCCACAGAACAAACTGTTATTACCTCATGCCAGTGCCAAGAATTGCATAACACATGACTGCTGAAAAGAGTTTTGCACATGCTATAAGCCATGAATGATACTCTTGCATCTACACATATTAACTGATTATCATTAGGCTATAACTCTCCACTAATAGAAGGGTGACACATCCTCCATGTGAAGTACATCCCATGAGCAGTAGTGTTTCAATGAAGGCTCATTTTTTTCCTTGGCATTATTTTGTTTACAATTTTTTCCCTCAAGAATTACAGAATTTTTTTTACTTATTGTTTTAAATTTTAGTTACCATTTGTAGTGTAATTTTTCTTCCCTTTATTCTCTGTTAATAATGAGTAAGAAAGATTACAAATTTTAAACATTTCATTATCAACTTTGATTTGAATTCTGTTAGGTTTTATATTTCCTCTTAATCAAATTTGTTACTTTGGAATGCATGTTTCAGTGTTTGTGAAAAGGTTTCTTCAGAATCACTACTCATCTCTCTGCACCACCAATATCTATTGCCTGTTGTGTACTTCTATATAAATTTTCTGTGCATGTCACAAACCTTCATCAAAGCTCTCACTCATACATGTCTCAACAGGTATTGCATCAGCCAATGGCATTGGACTTTCTCTTTTGGGCCCACAAGCACTACATTTAGCTGTCCATCTTTCGTGTCTCTAAAGCTCGGATCCTGGTGGAAGAGTGAATAGCTCGTCTAAAAATGGTTTTGTCATCCTCTGTTCTTTTCATAGGACTTGTTTCAATTATGGACATCTTATCATCATAACCTTTACAGCCCTGGCTGAAGATTCTCTGTGTCTGATGTGTTTCAACCTTCTCTTATATGCTTCAAACATATTTCTTCCCTTTTTCTTTGCAAGAGCTATCATTTGATTTTGTCTTGGCCTCCTCCAGCACTGTTTACCACAGGGACAGGTTTATCTTCTTCCCAGTCCTTCCCAAAACTTGGGTAGCTTTGGAGGGTGATTGGATGTTTTTTCCATTCATCCTTCCTTCTCTTTTCCTCCCTTTATGGTCATCCTGACCCAGATCATCTTCTTTGTTCTATATGGTCTACTCTTTATTATTAGCCCCCCAGTGGCACAGTGGTATGTTTGCGGACATACAACGCTAGAAACTGGGTTTTAATACCTGTGGTAGGCAGAGCACAGATAGCCCCTTATGTAGCTTTGGGCTTAATTTCAAAACAAACAATCTTTATTACTATCTTACAGCTCCTTTTGCTTCTAGCCATCAACGGCCCCTGTATGTGATTTTTTAGAAGGAGATGTGGATAACTTCCGACATACTAGTGTCCCATTACTTCCCACCACAGGGAATTTTCACCTGCTCTGTTCTTTGTTTCTCGCCATTTGCCGCTCTTTACAGTGGCTTTTATGCTGAGTTGTTTGTTTTTCTTTTTTCCAGGCCTTACAACCACCTTTTTCAATATATTATTCAGATGATAAAACCCACAGAGTAGTTGTTGTTGTTGCCTCATATGGAATAGTTATCCAAAATCTGCATTGAGTGGGAGAGTACAGAAAGTTTTAAGCTCATCCACCGCTGCTCAGTGTATGTTGTTGATATGTTTATATCTATTATATCTTCTTGGTCATTGTGCACTTAAAAAAACATCACCACCATGCGTGTGCCTATCCTAATGCTTAGCTCGTGCCTGCTGTATTTAGTCATGGTAATTCATTGCACTGTCTCTCAGTGTGAGACCTAATTCCAGATAATTGTGCAAGATAACAATAGTCCACATATCTTTCTGGTGTTCTCCCCTTCACAAATTCCTCCCCAGTTTCTTCTGTTGGAGTATGGAAGAACCTTTGCTTCCCCTGTCCCAAGCTGTTGGGGAAGTCATTATTGATAATTCTTCATTGGGTTGTGCAATCCAACTGGTACAATACAGAATGGATGTCAAATTCCATGATGAGGAACCCACTTTGAGACTAATAATGCTTGGAAATGGCTTGAATGGGTAATGAAGAAAAACTTTAATATAAGTTTAACATAACACCAAATGCACAACGTTTTGAAAAGGTTTTTTCATCATCAGGTACAAGTAGTTTAAACTGACACAGATATATACATACTGTATGGAACAAAGAGGTCACATGACCAGATATTGTTGCACAACTTAGTAGAGATATCTTAGCACTTCAGGGTGTTGGTTTAGAGTAGGGTTGTTTTGTTCAATTAAGACGGATTCCTTGATTTTTCGTTTGTTTATGTTTGGTAATTTGTTTAAAATTACCGTGTTTTTAATAGATATACTATGGTTTTTTGAGTTGGAATGGTGGAAAACATGAAACAGTTTTTTTATTGTGTTCTGTGAATCTGGTTTCCAATTTTCTGTTTCTGTTCTGGTTTCCTGTTTGATGTAGAATTCTGGGCAGTTATTGCATGTTATTTTGTAAATGATGTTGGTATTGTGTAATTCTAAATAA